TCCACTACCAGGTCCATTGCAAATGAATGGTTTGCAGAACACGGAAGACCTATTGGCATGCGAAGTGTTTACCGTCGAATGAGGAGTTTTGGCTTGTTTTCATACCGGCCACACTGGGTCCTCCCTTTAACTCGAGAACACCGACGTAATCGTCTTGAGTGGTGCAGACAACGGTCACTCTGGGATCAGGAATGGAACAGTAGTGACGAGTCTCGATTTTGTTTAGGCATGCACGATGGTCGTGCCAGGGTTAGAAGGCGACGTGATGAGGAGGTATCCACAGTTTTTTGTTGAAAGACATGTTCATCACACTGTTGGAGTTATGGTTTGGGGTGCTATAGCTTATGGTTCCAGGTCACCTTTAATCTTCATCAGAGGTAACATGAACGCGCAGCGTTATATCCACGAAGTTCTAGAACCCCATCTTTTACCCTATCTTGACACCCTGGCAGATCCAACTTTCCAACAAGATAATGCCCGACCACATGTTGCAAGAGTCACAATAGACTTCTTTCAACATAATGATGTCACATTGTTACCATGGCCACCAAGATCTCCCGACTTATCCCCAATTGAGCACGTGTGGGATATGATGGGTAGGAGATTGCTCAATTTGCAACGTCCTCCTCAGACTGTAGAAGCACTTCGAGAGGAGTTGGTGGTTGCCTGGAATGAGGTACCACAGGAGGACATTGACCACCTGATCAGAAGCATGCCTAGGCGCGATGGAGAATGCGTAGCACATCAGGGTGCATCCACACATTATTAAAGGTCAAAGGGCTTTAAAGCAGTGCAATCATTTTGAAATTTTTATCATTTACTTATTATGCTTCATTAAGAACTTACACAAAATTTTATTAAAATAAAACCATTTAAACTGGGTGTTCGGATTTATATGTCACTTAGTATAGTTCCTTATAAATAAAAATACCTGGGACTGATATTAACCAAAGATGGAAATTGTGAGGAAGATGTATAGGGGAATCAAGCTGGAGGGCGTATAATTACATGTCTGTTAAAAGCGCTACTGTGGAATGAAGATATACAAAATAAAACAAAAAAACATTTACTTACAACACTAATAGAAAGTACAATTACATACGGCTCCTGAAGGACACTGATATAAGCACGAAAACACGTATAAACGCAGTGGAATGGAGTTTTTGGCGGAGACGCTGTAGGTACTCCTTACTCATGTAATCATATAGGAATTAAAAGAACAAAGGAAATAATGAATATAGGAACATCACTAACTGAAACAATAGAGAAAAACAGCTATCCTGGTATCGTCATATGAAAAGAATGGCGGAAAATAGACTGCCAATTAAAGTATGGACATTGATCCCCCAAAAAGTAGGAGGAAAAGGAAAACTATGGGAATCGTGGTATAATAGAATACATTCTACTGCCAAGTAAAAAGTTACGGATGAGAATCCATGACAAAATAAGTATCAATGGCGTTCGAACTGCAATAGAAGGCCTAGGGCTGTGATATAGTCGATAGTGTCTGGAAAGTTGCACACCTTAAGTAGGGTAGAGGCCGATGGGGATAGTCTTATATTTTATGCTCAAGCATGAAAGTAGCTTATAGCTAGAGCTCTTCCTGACATGGACGCCACGGCGGCGTTACTAATGATACAGTCATTGCTAGTTCTAGAATACATGGTTGCTATATCTGAGTTGTAGTTGTAGTAGAATGTGCTTGGTTCAAAATATACCACAGAACAGATTCAGACCAAAATCTGTCGACTATACAGTCGAGCAAGTTCGCAAGCACACAAGGCCGCGACTCGAACTGTGAACAAAATTAAATCGTCCAACCAAAATTATAATTTTTCTCCAACAACCAATCCCAAAATTAATTTTAGGACCAATTTAAAATTGCCGGATACTAACTAGCAATGCCAAGGCACCCCTCAAATTGACATACTTCTATTTTCTTTACTCTCCTTTCTTTCTTTCTTCTTCCATTCTTTCTCCCTGACGTTGTCTGGTATCTGGGAAACCACACCTGACAGACCTACTGACTTACAAGACTTCAACCAAGAGCAAAGGTCCTACGGACCGCTCTGACAGACAACGACGAATAGAAGGGACCAAAATCTGTCATTCACACGCGTCAAACGTAACACGTCGCTCCCCTTCGCAGTGCTCCAGTTAAGCGCCTGTCCTTTAATCATGTGTAAAGGAACCTTGCGAACAATAAGCTTTTTACTACTGGCGAATTCATTACGATGAACATCTTGTGGCAAAAGAAATAACGACCACGATACTTTGCGTCGTCTACCTACCTGACTACTTATCTATATTTGTCAAGGCATAGCGATTGCTACTGTCTCCTACTTGTTAGGCTTAATGATCCAGAATGTATCTCTGAGTTTTTATGTGAAGGATCGAATTGTCTTTGTGGGTCTTTTCACAGGAAAGGAATATAAGAAGGAAGTTCAGTAACAGGATACGATGTTGGGTTTATGGCAGTTTTTGCATGAATATCGATGACAGGGTAGGAAAAGAGAACAGTCTCGGTGTGGTGTACAGGGCGTCCCTCTATAAATTGGCTGCCATATAACCTTGTTCTGTGACTCTTTAGAAAACGGTATTATATAAAATTATTGGGGTTCAAGTTAATATTCTTCATTCGAAACCCTTTCTGTGTGTAGAGTGTTTTAGAAAAAAACATTCATCGCGCGTTGGTACGGGGGAAACATCGTACACCAGGCTTTTCATATGTCCCCACACATAGTAATCCATCGGTGTGAGACCTGGGCTTTTTGCTGGCCAGGCAATGGGCCCGCCTCTGCCAATCCATTGATTTGGAAATTTAGAGTCTAAATACGCCCGTACTAATCTACTGTAGTGTGCGGGACAGCCGTCGTGCTGGAACCGCATATTTTGTCTCGTCGCCAATGGGACGTCTTCCATTAATGGAAACAAGTGATTTTTCAAGAACTCTTCATACAATTCTCCATTTAAATTGGCGGGCAGAAAATGAGGTCCAATTAAATATCCATCAATGATGCCCATCCACACATTGACTGAAAACCGGCTCTGAGACCCCGTCGGTCTTATTATTCGGGGGTTTAAAGCTTCTTTATCAGCCCAGTAATGAGCATTATGGTAGTTAGTGATCCCTTCGATTCATCGGTCCACAGATTTTTCTTAAAATAGTATGGAGCTTCTGTATCTGCATGTAACATGTACCTGCAGAAATCTAATCGTCTTGCAGGATCGCCCTCTTCAATCACATGCACAGGCGTGTAGTGATAAGGGTATAATCTTGCAGTATGCACAGTAAACCATACTTTGTATTGTGATATACCCGACTGAGCAGCCACAATGCGCATAGACGTAGTAGGGTCTTCCTGAAACACACGAAGGATTTCCTCTTCATCTTCAGGAGGATAGACACGGGGTCAACCAGCATCACTATGTTGCCATTGAACACGTCCGGTTTGGCGGATGCACCGATACACAGAGTCAAACACAGTAACATGAGGTGTTCGGCGATTCGGGAAACGTTTCCGATATTCAGCGGGCAGCTGCAGAATCGCCGTTACAAAGTCCATAACAGAACATTATGTCTGCGTATTCTTCATTTGTAAAAGTTTGCCCGTGCTCGCTATAGCGAGGTCCTGGCGGATCTTCTGCGTCTGCCATGATGCCACTCGAGATGAACTGGGAAACTCGAAAATAATAATTGTGCGTAAAACGTGTGCGCGTACGCAGTAGTTGATACCAACTAAACCTAATTCTCACTCGGCGTGCGGCGATGGCGTAACTACAATGATGAATAATAACAGCTCTCCCTCTCTCACTCCTCCACTAAGTCAGCTCGTCTCGCTCGCTTCATGGCATGCGAGTCCTTTGAGGACAGTAACAGGTAATACAAATTCCTTAAAAATCCAGCCTCTGTGGGTGTCATTCTTGTTTCTCTGCATGTACTACAGATAATTGAACGCTTAATACCTCAAATGAAATCTTGTTAGATAGAGATAGTATTTATATAATTTGCACATTTCATTACTAGGAGATTTTTTACAGAAAATTGCATTTTTTATCGAATAATTTAGTAAAAAAAAGAAAATGATAGATTTAAAAAGCGTAATTTTAAAACTATTGGAATGTCTGCTATGCGACGATAACAAAAAACTCAAACTCAAGCATGCAGCATGCAAGACATGATAGAACAAAATCGCTTGCTTTTGACCTAATATATCACCTCTTAACAGGAATACGTGACATTACAAGTCACAATGGTTTGCTGCTCTTATTTTTGTTACTTTAGTCGAGGACTCCAATGTAACTCCTGAAGCTTGAGCTGTTTGTGTCATTTTGTCGAATTCGATGAAGCATAATGCTTAGGCTTTTGACTAAAGTAATAAAAATAAGTATAACGTATTTGGAATCAAACAAGACTGGCTATAACTTCTACCTAAAGTACGTTTCAGCCTTATATAGATGTTTTTCCTATAAGGTCATATGAGAAAGTTAGAGGAGTGTTGATCCATAGCGGGCCACCCTGTACAAAGCTGTAAAATGGTTCCTAGAAAGAAACATCGTCCATTTACAGCCCATGAATTTTTGGATAGAGTATTTGTATTTTCCCTTTGTCAGCATAGGAGAGAAAGGTTATTGAACTGAAGCAAATGAGGTATTGTGTATTTCAGTCTTTTCTGTGTCTGTTAACGACATTTGTATCGGTAGAGAAGTACTGTAGATTTGAAAATGAAAAGTACACTTCAGTTGCATAATATTCTTCTTTAAGGGCGATATACCGTTAGTGGCATTAAATAATTAGATGTAGAAATAGCAGGATGAAGCGTCCTCTTCATTCAGAAACACCTAGGATGAAATCAGAAAAAAGTGTAACAACTCATAGTGGTAATGATGACGATGATTATTATCATGAGGTGTTAGTCGATGAGTTTGTGGAAATTTATAGTGAAAATTGCCACTATTTGCATTTGGTTTACTCAAGATGGTGAATGTTTTCAACTTACGATGGTTCGTCTTCAAGCACCAGCTCTTCAAAGTCCAGAATGATTTTGTATCCAGCCGAGGCGATAATATCGATATCACAGTTTGCGTTATCTGGATACTGTCTGGGAAACCCCGGACTTGTCACAGAAGCCTTCGGTTGGTTCCTGGATAGTATCACAGTTCTGTTGCATTCTGGCAGCCAGCTGTCTTCCAGGGGCTCTGGAACAGAAAGAAACTGTGAGATCATATAGGTTCATTTTCATAGATTTGTGTAACCCTGATACAGTGAAGGTGATCCTGGAAATGGAACATACTAGCATTCTTTAACGCATTATATCTGAAATAACAAAAATGAAGAACCAAAATAGTGCTACAGTCGCATGACCAAAAAATTACCTGACGTAAAATGAGATACCGTGGCGTCATCTATGAGCATTCGTAACGGCTGTCTCTATTTACTATACAGGGTGTCCGCAAAGATGGGGTTTTCCTTTACACGACGTGTAGATCTTGAAAACATAAGCAATTTTTCTTAGTACCATATACACCAATGTCTTAAGGGAACCGAGATAAAGGACTCTGCAAGATCAAAAATATCTGAATACCGTCCTGTAGCCGCGACTCGCGACATCCCCAACTGGTACTAGGACACTAGCTCAACTGAGTCGGGGGTCGGGGTCAGTGTGTCAGGTCAGTATGCAACCTTCAACCGACGGTTACGGTCACGCGTGTAGAGGTAAACGAACCCGTATAATCGATTGCGTTTGAAAAAACAACAAGCACTAGAGGCGTGACTAGAGAAGTGCAAGCATCAAAAACTAGAGTGTGGCAAACGCTGCGTGAAGAGGGGCTGTATCCGTTTCACTTCCAACATGTACAAGCCCTTAAACCTGACGATTTTCCAGCAAGAGTGCGGTTTTGTGAGTGGTTGTTGCATCAACATGACAATAATCCAGACATTTTGAACTGCATATTGGTGACATACGAATCTACGTTCACGCGTAATGGGGTGAATAACTTTCGCAACACTCATGTTTGGTCAGTAGAGAATCTGCACGCTGTCCGTCGGGTACATTTTCAACAAACATTATCGGTGAATCTTTGGGCTGGCATGGTGAACGGTATGCTCATTGGACCATTTATTTTCCCAAATCGATTAGACGGGATGCAATACCTAGACTTTTAACGCAACATTTTGCCTTCCTTGTTAGAAGATGTGCCATTAAGTGTAAGACAATCAATGTGGTTTCTGCACGATGGTCATATTTGTTACCTCTGTTCGTGGTCGACTGGTCTGCACCACCGTTGGCGTCTGCTCGGTAGCGCATCAGCTGATTTCATTTTCTGTTGGAGCGGTATGATTTCGGGCAGAGACGTACTTAGCCCGTCTCGTCAACTGGAGAGTGAGTACTTTTTCCTTTATTTTTTTTTTACTTGGTCGCCCTCGTTTCACTACACATTACCTTTGTTATTTCAAGGGTAGTTGTTTCTGAAAAGGAAAACCCCAACTTTGCGGACACCCTGTATACATGGTGTTCCTTAATGCCCTGCTAATACTTCAGGGTATGATTCTTCAGATAACATATGATGCAATTTTGAATTCTGTAAAAAATGCTGTTACACACACGTTGTACTTTTTTTGGACCATATAAAAAATAAATTTGATGATGGTTTCTCTAAAGCGAACCGTCGAGCACAACATTTAAAAACACCAAAAACTGCCAATAAAGAAGTTCTGTTTGTTTTTGCCATTTAATTTTTACAAAATCTGAACCACATCTGTACACGCCTCAAGGAACGCAGCATTTTCCTAATTTAGCTTCGATACCCTGTATATGTTTAAATTTCAGTTTTCGGCGGTATTTTGTTTCTTTTTGTTCCTTCTTCACATTTTAATGTCTGTCACTGGGTTGTCATTCCAAATTCATGCGAAAATGTCAATATCAAATAATTTTGGTACCGCTGCAAGAATTCTTCACTGTATAAGCAGCTGCTGTTATCGGTCTTCGAACATCCAATCAAATCTGTCTCACCTACCCATCAAAAAACTCACGTCAACCGGAATTGTTGGTCAAAGAGGATCATTGATGAATTCATCGCAGCTTAAGAACGTAGTCTATCAAAATGCTTGTAACGAAGCATACCTAGGTAGGTATTTAATTATCGATATCCCGAGACACATTCCAGAGCAGGATAATGGGTATGAATCTCTTTATGGCTTTAATTCGATATTGGACCCTTTGATCCCTTCAAAAGAAAGATACGTGTTTATTCCAAAGAAAAAGGACGATGATGAAGACGACAGCTGCCGTACTGGATGCCAAAAAAGGAAGAAAAAGAAGGATCCCTGCTATAAGAAGGAGCGGTATAATCCTTGCAAAAATCGCAACCCTTGCGACAAAGTAGGGAAAATAAAGAAATGAACTTGTGAGATGGAATGTCATGTGTATACCTTGTTGACAAAATATATTTTGTCAGTGCCCTTTTGGTATTTTCTTCTCAGCTTACAATTCAATTATGACACACGTCAGACCTATTGCAGCGTCTAAACCATTTTTTAGCCTCCTACCTCTGCTGTCCAGAAAAATAACTATACCCCTTCCTAGTCCCTAAACTCTCTGCGGGGTACAGGACTGATGAGATCATCATGATTCCAAAGAAAGTGGGTTCGATATCCCTTGAGAATTTTTCGTCAGGTTACCATGTGATTCCTGTCGTTCAGTTCGGATTTCGGTCCAAGCATAGCACCGAGCTACAGGCAGTCAGGCTGGTGGAACAGGTACCCAGAGTATACAATGTATACAATGTATACAATGTATACAAGGTATACAACGTATACAATGTATACAACGTATACAATGTATACAACGTATACAATGTATACGATGTATGCAATGTATACCAATGTATACAATGGATGCAACATATTCAATGATGAGGATAACCTATAAATAAGCTTACTTATAGGGTAACTCGCAAATGTCAAATTATCGGAAACCGGCAATTATAAAAAAATGGTTAGGCGCGCTTAAAGAGTAAGGAAATTCACTATGGTTCATTTTGTTTAAAGATGGAAGGAAATATCGCGTGGAGTGCTGTATCTATTAAAAAGGTTGCCTAATTGAGCTACATGTCGCTTGGGTTATGTTTTCTCGTATTGCAATAGATGCGGTTATCAACGCTCTATTTTGTCAACGTCTAATTGCCTAATATAAGCACAAATCAAATTAGATGGTATAGTAAGAAGAAATAGTGAAAAAAGCGTGTTTTACTCCTCACGATTGATCGATAACAACCATACCAACCAAATATTAACTTCAATTAGTTAAATGGGTGGATTTTATTTCAAGGACGTATTTTATTTTAGAAATGATTCTGATTAATATACAACAATAACTTTGTTTATCTATAAGCAATTATGCAAAAATCTCTTATACAAGCGTTGCGTATATTTAAGCAACATAACAGAACCATTATTTGTTTTTGTATACATTTTCTACACTGTATGTCACTGAATTTCAAAATGTATACAATTACAAATGTATACGTGTATACAATGAGTCTTTTACATCACTGCTTAAAACAGCATGCTGTTTGTATAAAATGTCAAGTTTTATGTATTTCATGATCTCTAAACATGGAATCATATCAAATAAAAACATCTTCCATGCCATACTATCAAATATCATTGCATTTAAAATTATTCTAGATTACGCCAATTCAGTAGTAAACAAAAAGACGTACTATAGAAACGTTTCTAATGACGCCTTAACGAACGATATTGTACGCTTGATTTGCTTCCAACTCACACAGCACGCAGCGCCATCTGAGGAACGCGTGCAATTTCAGAGGTGAAGTCGTAAGTTGCATCGCGACCTAATGTCAACATTATTGAATGTGCTCCAAAATAAACTGCATCGCTCTTTGCCTCCTTTTTATATGTGCCGCCGTCGCATGCCGTGCAAATATGTACTTCAAGGGGATTAAGTACAGGAAGCTTCGTTTATAGATACTTTTAGAGTCAACGGAGTTAGATATTGCGGCGCCTTAGAGACGTCGAGCGTTATGTTGACCTTTATGTTTGTTAACCCCAAGGTGGTAGGGAAATAAAAAAAGTAATAGTATGTATTTCACGGTAAGTGAAAAATAGAGTTTCCACCTTTAGTTGGGTACTTCGACAAAATTCAAGCAACGAGGACTCTTTATATTTTATTAGTCTCTAATTTTCAATGGACTTTGCCGTCTTCATCAGGAGCTGAAATAACATTGAGAAGAAATAGCAACTATTGTGCTAAATGGTTTTAAATTATTTACAATAGTATGTGAGATTGTCACTAAATGTTATTAACGGTTAAGTTTAGGGAAACATTTAGTACATTGGTGAACGCTGGATACATGGTACATTCGTTAAGATTAATATAAAATGCACACAATTGTATGTCAGGAACAATGGATTAAATATATTTAGAACGAAAGTTAAAATTATATCTAAAAAGACGTCCAGCTTCACTATGTGCCTGGCGAGCACAAGCTGCTATGCTGCTTGGATGTACCAGACAGGTCAGCCTCGTTAATCGCTCAGCAAAACATCGAACGACATCGAAAACCCGAAGAATCATCTAAAACTGTATTCGCAACACACCTGTTCAGTGTTACACAACGTTTGACTACTACTGGTGCATTGTTCAAGAATCCGAAATGCCAGAAACAGTATTTTGCCAAACAACATGGTGCCCTTATGGTGTAAATGCCTTCGTTTTTCGAGATATCGGCAGCTGTTTGTACTGGACAATAATAGAGGAATACCTCCATTTATATAGATTTTTTGTGACAGTATGTTTGTTACAGATTTGAATTGCGTTCATATGAAAACGGCAAAAGTTAAATATGTGAAAATGGGTGAATGCCAAAATTGCAAAGTTTGAGGTTTCAAAGGACTATTAAGTACTAAAATTAAAAGATCAAGGTGTTAAATAGACATGTTCTAAAATACTTGAATGCAAAGTTCAATAAAATTAATCATCTTGACGTTTGAGTTACATCCAGTGCCGAAACCCGGCTTCCTGACCTTTGCGACTTTTCCGCATAAATCGCGACACAGACTGTAGCCGTGTGATTGGCTTCTCGTTTTCCAAAGAACATTAAACGTTGGTCATCAATCTCATCTGCCAACCTTTTGTGGTGGTAAAAATCTAATTTTTGAAAGTGTCCTCACCGTCACTCTGCAGCCTCTCGCAAACGAAGTAGTTGGGTGTCGAACAGTCCCTGTCGTTCCAAGCAAACGTGGCTGAGGCCAACCTGGCAGGTCCTGCAACCGCAGCAGGAAGGCCATAGGCTCTACGAACTTCTACGCAGTCCTGCTCGCTGAGTCCGTCGTCGTTCGGCTGTCGGTTGTAGTGGCCGTGATGGGACCAGCCAGGGAACCAATCTGTAAGAAAGATGAGTTAGATCTATAAATATATGTAAACAAATAAATAATAGTGTACTCTTGAAGTCCGGACAGTGTCCTTATCTGTCAATGGCCGTAGTGTATGAATAAATCCTGCGTCGTCAACACATGAGCCCAACAAGCTCCCTACCCCAATTAATAATAATAATACAGAATTGATGAGCTCAGAAGTAACTCCGCGTTCCCTTTTACTAATGAACATCAAGCATCTCGGTTCCTGCTTTTCCTCATTTTCACACTCGCCGGAGAATCTGCCATGGAAATTGATAAATCACTCGGTCCGGAATAATTATGTTAATTTAATACTATGCAAGCCAGAAACGTAAAACGAATATGACTACGGTTGAAATTCTTAATTAATGTTGCTGACAGGGACACACAATGTGAAATAATAAAGGAAATATACGTATACTAGGATTACTTGGAAACTCAGTTCTTGTTTTCTTCGGTGATGGGGTAGCAGCCTGCTAAGCAACTTTGAATCCCACTTTACCAAGTTGGGGTAGAATTCTCAAACCACTTGATTAACTCATTTAATTGGGTAGGCAATTCAAAGTTTAAATATAACAATATACACAATTTTGAATTGGTGCAAACTTTCACCCCTTAGGCGATGGCATTTACAAAAATTTCTTTCCTTATGGGCACTCACGTCACTGTCATTTCATTGTTTTGTGTTGAATATTCCAAAAAAAAAAATCCTTACTCAAATTTCAAATCCATAGCAAAAGTGACATCTAAAAGTAATAACTGGATATTTTGTAAATCCACAAGTATATATATATATATCAAAAGACGAATAATAATAATAGTAATTATAATAATAATAGTAATAATAATGATGATAATAATGCGTATGCTCATAAGCATACAAATGCACAGTCCAATCTGATGACATTTGTTAGTAGCTAAGTCCTTTCTCAGAGCATAGACGTATGTTTTGTGCTTTCCGGCAACTCATCAGCATGATCTAGGGTTGGTCTCAACGAAGTGAAGCATAGCAACTATCCTCTATCCAGGATGTAGGGTCCATAGCGTTGTCATATTTTGAGACTAACAACATATTTGACTTCATTTTTTGATAAGTGCTGTATACCGTCGTTGTGTTGACAAAAACTTCTATGTATTCAGAAGCAATGTTTACAGAATGACAAAAAAACTCTTTTAAATTTGAAAAATTGGTTTCGCTTCCACTCACACCGATTCCTAGTACTCGTAAATCTCTACAAAATTACACTGATCATCAGCCAAAAAATATCCTAAATAAAATCAACAAAATATTATTATTTTTAATGTGCTAAAACCGGAATGAAACTAATTTTTTCAATATTAGTTCAAGTTTTAGAGATACGGTAATTATATGTGTTCCTGCTGTGACAGTGTTAATATACTGTAATTCACAAGAATGCACGTGCTACATTTTTACATTCGGTAAGGAAAGATGATGTAATCGTCATGATTGTGTTACGTTATACATACGTGTACATTATATTGTTTTATATTAGCCATTTTTTCCTCAGTTGGCTGACAGCGTTCATGCAAGATGTCTCGAAAGTGTGTAAACAATCCAGATCAGTTTTGTTACGTGTGTGGTGATGTGACTTTTGCGTCTCAGAGACGGTCTATTACTCCACTAATAACAAAGGCATATCAGCTTTATTTCGTTTGTAAACTAGGTGATCAAGACAAACAGTGGGCACCCCACATCTGCTGTAATACATGTGCTTCAAGTCTGAGGAGCTGGTTAAATGGCAAAAAACGGTCTATGCGCTTTGCTGTCCCAATGGTTTGGAGAGAGCCTACAAATCATATTAATCATTGTTACTTTTGCATGGTACCTTGTGTTGGACAAGCCACACGTATGACCAAGAAAAAAAAATCGGTTATTAACTACCCAAACATACCATCTGCGATGAGACCTGTGCCTCACAGTGACGAAAATCCTATTCCAAAACCCCCAGAATCCTACACTTGCGAATCAGAAAACGAATCAGATCATGGCGATCGAGTGATTCGTCAGGAAGAAGATATGCCATCAACGTCAAGAGATCCTGATTTTATACCGAGCACGTCATGCCACCAACCGCACAAAATAACACAGTCAGAATTAAATGATCTTGTAAGAGATTTAGAACTTCCAAAATGTAAGGCAGAGTTACTTGGATCAAGACTGCAGCAGTGGAACTTGTTAGAAGACGATGTTTCGGTATGTGTTTTTCGTAAACGCCACAAAGACTTAGAACCATTTCTCAATATGGAGAATAACTTGGTTTTCTGCAGTAACATTAACGGCTTACTGGCGGCTTTAAATATAAACTATAACCCAGAAGAATGGAGATTGTTTATAGACAGTTCAACATTGAGTTTAAAGGCAGTGTTATTGCATATTGAAAATATTTTACCATCTCTTCCTGTAGGGTATGCAGTTCACATGAAAGAATCATATGACAATATGAAGTACGTATTGACATGCATAAAATACGATGAGCACCAATGGCATATTTGTGGCGATTTGAAAGTTGTTGCACTTTTACTTGGGCTGCAGCTAGGCTACACAAAGTTTTGCTGTTTTTTGTGTGAATGGGACAGTCGGGCAAAGGCACTTCATTACACCAGACAAAACTGGCCTGTTCGTCAATTCCTAGAGCCAGGTCAAAAAAATGTACAGCGTATGCCATTAGTAGATTCGAAAAAAATTTTATTACCACCACTGCATATCAAGTTGGGCCTAATGAAAAACTTTGTCAAGGCATTAGATAGAGATGGGTCAGCTTTTCAATACCTGCGTCAGAAATTTCCAAGACTAAGTGAGGCAAAGGTTAAAGAAAGTATTTTTGTTGGGCCACAGATTCGAAATATTTTGAAAGATACACAGTTTGAAAACACTTCAACAGGTATTGAAAAAACTGCTTGGAATGATTTCCGTCTGGTGGTCACTAATTTCTTGGGAAATAGAAAAGCTGACAACTATAAAACCCTTGTCAAAAATATGCTGTCATCATATCAACAGATGGGCTGTAATATGTCTCTTAAGATACATTTCCTACACTCACACCTGGACTTTTTTCCTGACAATTGCAGAGCCGTAAGTGATGAGCACGGCGAACGTTTTCATCAGGATATTTCAACAATGGAAAAAAGGTACCAGGAAAAGTGGAATCCTTCCATGCTTGCAGACTACTGTTGGACTCTTGGTAGAGATGCTCCAGAAACGATCCATAAAAGAACAGCAAAAAGACAGCGCATATAGTGATTCTTATAAGTATATGAATCTTGTTACTTTTTTTAATATATCCTTAAAAATAAAAAGTTTTTTTTTCTAAACCGCGAATAATGTTTTTATTTCATTGTCATTTTTGGATTCAGCGCCCCAAAATTAACAAAGAAATGCACTTTTCCCACAAGATACAATTAAAAAACTAAAATTTGTTGTCCAGTGTTATTAGAGTTTCTTATTATGACTTTTGTACATCAGATCACAGGGGGCTTGATAAAAACAATGACGATATAATAAACTAAAAAAATACTGTATTGAACCTTCAAGCCTGCGTTCCTGCAGTAGACGCGCTGAATCAACTCTAAATGAGTAATGTCTTCGTTGTGCGCGGAGATGACAACAGTCAAGCTTAATGAAAAACAAACTTTACAAGAGGAACCGTGCTAACCGATTGGCTCTCGTCAAGATAGCTATTTATAATTCAAACGGACAGAAATAGTGGGCGTCCCCAAAATGCCAGCGAGTTGCTGCTAGTATTGCTTCCGCATCCATTTCAAGATACCATGAAATTACCTCAACTTTCAGATCAAAGGTTTCAAATTCTCGCGCGAACAACCGGCTTAGACGAGACAAATTTGATGTTATATGGCTCTCTGTGATCACAAGTCAGCTTGGTACAATTATTTGCTAATCGAAAAGAGAGCCTCCTGAAAACGTTTTGGACTAGTTTTGGAAAGGTAATATCTTTATAGATTTCGACATGTACTTTCCGAATTTTGACTTTGATATCTTGTATATTTTGCTATGGGAAAATTGACACCAAAAACAGACCTCTGACCAGTCCTCTGACTAGGGTGATTAATCTAGAAAAAATGCTTGCAAATCATGTGCTTAGCCTTTTATAATATGATTAATATTAAGTACGTATCGAAAGATGAGGATAATATGGTTGCAATTTTAATGCATTTTGTAATTCTGTATTGTGTCTGCCCTCTTTTTGTGTGGTTGAACTAATCTTCGACTAATTCCTGCACTTTCTGACAGGTCTAATGACAATCATCATCATTATTTACTCTACTCTACTTACTTTAATGCAAATACAGTGAAATCCATTTGTAATGAACTTGTTCATAATGGAAACCCGTATATAATGGACACAATTTAAGGTCCTATAAATAATTGCATGTAAAATCCTCGGATATTACAGACTCGCTTAAAATAGACCTTCGCTTATAGCAGACTATTTTAATCCATTATATGAGAGCTATTTTGGTGGTTCCCCGAAGCACATTTAGCTGCTGCAATCGATTACGGCGGTTGACTCCGCAGTTTGCATTCGAACTTGGCCACCAGTGTTATACTGTATTTATTAGAGTTATAAACATGTCGAAAAGTGCCAAACGTGCATTCACTTTACACGAAAAGTTCACAATAATTAGCGAGCTTGAGCAGGATTTATCTCAACCAAATATATGTGCTCATATGGCTATAAAAAATCCACTGTGTCAAATATTTTGAAAAACCGTGACAAAATTAAAAATGACTGGAAATCAAATAGTCAAAAGGAAAAAATGCGGCTATCGCTGCATCCCCAAGTCGATGATATTTTGTTTAAATGGTTTCAAAAAAGCGTGCTAATAATTTTCCAATAAGTGGACCTATGCTACAAATAAAGGCTGAAGAATTTGGCAAATTGATTGGAGATTACTTCAAATGTAGTTCCGGTTGGCTAGACAGGTTTAAGAAAAGACATAACATTGTTTTTGGAAAAATGTGTGGTGACTCAGCTTCAGTTGACAAGAACGTTACCAACGATTGGATTTCTCTAGTTTGGCCCGTGATATCCAGTGATTATTCAGATGATAACATATTCAATGTAGATGAAACCGGGATATTTTATAGAATGCTACCAGATGAAACTCATAAATTGAAAAGGGAAACTTGCAATGGAGGGAAACTATCCAAAGAGCGAATAACTGTTATGATTTGTGCTAATGCTTCTGGTACTGAAAAAATGGAAACTATTGGTAATAGGTAAGGTAAGGGACGGAGGTGGTCAAAGCTTAGCGTTTTCTTATATTGAAGCTGTCATTACTCAACATTGAAATATATATAATATTATGTCAATATTCTTTCAATCCTCCAAATTATCAGCCCGTGAAATACAGTTATTTGGTACCTACATAACCACGCGTTAAAAATTGAATTCCTTCTGAGGCAGAACTGTTCCTAAATGTCATTTTTTCAATATAGATGTAAATTATTTTCCAAATTCATTCCTGATTCTGTATACGGTTAAATTTAAGTACTACATGCCCCATTATGTTAACAAGAAAAGTCCCGGTAGAAGAATGTTGGTCCATCGTTTGAGCGTGTTTCTACTCAGCTTGTTGAACGTGTCAACATATGATGGTAACCCAAAGCAATACTTTCCAAGTTTGAGCATGCTCCTACGCGCCACTACAGTAAACCTTTGAGTATCCTGACCTCATCCTTCCAACAAAAATTCCTTGGCAGTTACCTGCATCGCCAGCAGCGAGGCAAATACTTATCTACAACCGCCGTTCTCGGCCTACTTTGATGTGAGAACATTCAGGGAGGCCCACTTGATGCGGAAGCCACACGAATGCCAGCAATTGCCGCTGGAATTCGTGACTGCACGTTTAGTATTTTTGTTCAGGTGTTATTAATAGGAGACGTCAGGTCTGAGGTTTGCTACCTGTGGGGACCGAAGCGACAGCAAAATTGAACCGTGTTCAAGAATGCGAAGTTGCTATACATGGGTAGTGACAGATGATTCATTTCTAATAAGCATAACACGTTAAAACAATCAACTGAGTCGGGTTATCTTTTGCAACAAACGGAAGGAGTATGAATACATTCAAAGAAAAAAGTATGTCGCATGATTCCATCGAACGGCATATTGTTGTATGATTGGAGAAAAAGTATTGAAAATTAACTTTTTTTATATAATCGAGAACAATTTTTGTACGCCCCTGGTATTATTTGCTCCAGAGAAAAATACTGAAAATAGGTGAGATTCTTCATTCAACAAAATGTCTAAAAATTCGCAACGTATATCATTTATTTCATACCTGAACAACTACGACGTGAGATAATTTATATTCAATAAATTATATTCCCCTGGTAGCCATAATGATTACATCGCCGAGGCATCGTTGACCTTTTCTCAACTGTACAGGTGAATTCGTCGCGTGGGTCGTGAGAGCGAGCAGTGGCTAATTTACCTTATATACAAAATGTTTCATCATTTCAAGCTTTAAGGGCAACCCAGCTAGCAACGTGGTGTTACAAGTTTTTAGTAAAGGAGCTGTTAAATGTGCCCATTCCGCTTGTATAGCTGTTCTAAGAACGTTTTGCCAATGCTGTTGCAACATACAATGCTGCGTAAGGAATACTGTATAATCGTTCTTGCAACCCTAAAAGGAGTGGTAATATCGTTAGTTGTGAAATATACGGAGTAATATTTGTACATGACTGAAATATACCTGGCACGTAGCACTGTTGAGAATTTGATAAATATGCTTATGCCAAGAAAAATTACGATACAAACGTCAAAAAACGAAGTTTCTGCAATTTTTAATTTTTTTGTTTTTGGCCTTCTCCTCCGTCGCCACTGGACATATTCTGAATAACTACAAAGGTTCAACATACTTGGTGCCACTTTTTGCTTTGAAAAAAATATCTCTGAATGAATCATCTGTTACATAGCATACCCCAAAAATTGTGTAACACCAAAACATATATTGATAATATAGCAATTGGGCAGACAGATAATAATAATAATAATAATATTAATAATATTTATTTACTCAATGTACAAAGATAACAAACAATATGAGTAAATAAATATAAAATCAAAACAGGCCCAATAGGAGGCATCGCCTGTACATGGACCAATAATTTAAGTTGAAACTGTAGAATGCAAATGACAAAAAAGGACAAAAATTAGCTACAGTAGATTATGTATTTAGTTGATGTTCGTATTTATGAGTTTATGAATTTCAGTCTTAGATATAGAATGTAGCCACTTTTTTAAATTTCTTTTGAAACAATTTCCGAAACGTAAATCTTTTAAGTCTTTAGGTATAATTTCATAAAATTTAGGCGCTAAATAGAGATATGATCGCTGCATTATAGATTTATGCGGTTGAGGAACTACTGTGCCACGAATTTTGTACCTGGTATAATGATTATGTTTAATTTTTTGGTCGGTGTTTACAAATTTATGGTAGTGAGTGATACTGTGTAAGAAATAAAGCTGTCTTATATCATACATTCGAACATCTGCATATAATTTTTCAGTGGGATAAAGTTTCGGTTTTTTAAATATCATTTTTAGAATACTTTTTTGAAAAACATCTAAATTATAGATATGTGAGGAACATGCAGCTCCCCATGCTAATATACCATATGTGAGATGAGGCTCAATCAGTGCATGGTATAATGTTTGAAGATATTTTTCTGTCAATATATTCCCAAGGTATTTAATTTTGTAGGATACAAATCTAACTTTTTTTAAAATATAATTGACATGGATGTCCCATCGTAAGTGAGGATCCAAGACCACTCCAAGGTATTTTATGTTGGGCACTCCATTAATTTGCATTTTTTGATCATTAATATTGAAGGAGAAATTTGTGTAATTTGGCAGATGTCTAGCATAAGATCCAAATGGTAAAAAATGTGTTTTAGAGTAGTTAATGCTTAATTTTCTACTGTTAAACCACCGAATAATTTTGATAAAATCATTTTCAATTACATTTTTCAGATCAGACCAATCAGTGCCTTCATATAATATTGCAGTATCATCTGCAAAACTAGTTATTTTGCCAACACAATTAATTTGGAAAATATCATTTAAATATATATTGAATAACAGCGGACCTAAGACAGTTCCTTGTGGGACACCACACTTAATATACATTTCTTTACGAAATGATCCTGATATCTGCACAGATTGTGGGCGATTTGACAAATAACTTTCGATCAGTGAGTACGCGTTTCCTCTGAAACCAATTCTCTCCAATGCTTTTAATAATAATTTGTGATTAACTGTGTCGAAAGCTTTCTTTAAATCAACAAAAATGCCGATTGAAGGGATTCTGTTATCAATATTTTGATATATTTGATTTACAATTTTAGTTATTGCGTCCGATGTAGCCTTCCCTTCTGTAAATCCATATTGATTTTCACTTAAAATTTTTAATTTTGTGAGGTATCGAATCATTCTAGTAGATAAAACTTTTTCAAAAACCTTTGCTACACTGGATATTATTGATATTGGTCTATAGTTGTTAACATCTGTTGTTGTTCCTGATTTATGTATCGGTATTTTATTACCTTTTTTTAAAATTGAGGGATATATGCCAGATTTAAAGCATTTGTTGATTAGGTAAGTGAGTGGTTCTGTTATGTCCTCGGCTATAATTTTCAAATGCTCGCTTTTAATACCATCGAACCCAGGACTTTACCGATTTTTTAAGGACATAACAGTGGTGTATACTTCACATTGTTCGACTTTATCCAAAATAAATGAGTTCAAAGTTCTTTTTGGAGGCTGAGTATTTTGTACATTTGCTTGTATATTACTTGCTAAATTTTCGCCTATGTCAGTAAAGAATTGTACAAATTCATCGCATATCTGTTGAGTATTTTTTAATACTGTTCCCGAGGTTGTATTTAACTCAGTGACACACTCTTTAAATTTTGTTTTCCCAGTAATCTCATCAATAGTTGTCCAAAGCCGCTTAGGATCATTTAAGTTATTATTCAATTTATTTAGGTAATGTTTTCGTTTGGTTTGCCTTGCAAGCTCTATAAATTTATTTTTATGTTGGTTGTAACAGTCGGTATTCTCTGTAGTTGGCGTTAGTTTCATTACATTATATAGTCTTTCTTTTTCTATTGCCGATGTTATTAATCCTTTGGTAATCCAGGCATTTCTGCTTTTCTCTTTGTGACTAATTATTACTTTATTGGTACTAATATCTATTAGTTTTTTTATTTTCTCTATGAACAGTCCCGTTGCTTTGTCTATATTATTTATAGAGTATAATTGTTCCCAGGATTCTTGTTTGACATTTGATATTAGTTTTGAATTGTCGACAAAAAATTTGTAATTTTCCTGGTTGTTATTAACGGTAGGAATGTTAGAATGTTTTTCATTTGAAGATATCAGTAAAATAGTGGAGAAGTGGTCAGTAATATCGCTTTCTAGGATTATTGGTATACAAGTAATTTTGTTGGATGGGTCTTTCACAAAGCAGTGATCTATACATGTGCCACTGATGGACCTTGTAGGTAGGTTTATATAGGACAGAAAGCCGTTACTTGATATTCAAGTATTCATTTGTGATGGGATCATTGATGATTCAGAAGTTCCCAGAGATCCAAAACGATCCAGATGAAATCTGAGCGGAGGAGACACTCGCAAAATATCACTTTTAGTCAGCATCTCAAACTGTTCCTGATATTCATGTTATGTGCCCTTAGTAACTACGCAGTTGATACAATGTTGTATAATGCTTATGCAACTATGATAACAACTTCCTTTTGTGCTACCGTTGTTTTCCATTCTGATCTACTGTCTATTGTAAATAAAGTATAAATGGGTTAGACTCCGTCATAGTCAATTCATTGCATACTAAGTGACATATAAATCCGAACACCCAGTTTAAATGGTTTTATTTTAATAAACGTCGCTGAATGTATTTATCTTACTGTAGATAACAAGTGAAAAAATTTTCAGCCTTATCAGTTGGACATTCCGGTTTCTATACTGCTTTTTTTTAATTCACTAAAGCTCTAAAAATGAATATTTCAGCCGCAGTAAAGAATCAACGTCGGCGGATTTTGGTTCTTGACATCCTTTACGATCGGTTACGATGCCTAGAGTACGGAGACCTGTACGATTTCGTCAACTTAGTGAGTTTGAGAGGGGCCGTATAGTGGGACTTCGGGAAGCTGGACTTTCTTTTCGGGCAATTGCAGTTAGAGTGCAAAGAAGTGTAGACACTGTGGTTAGGTGTTGTCAGGCATGGCTTCGAGAAGGCCGTACGCAAAGAGCAAGGGGCACTGGACGCCGCCGTAGAACAACAGACCGTGAAGATCGCCGCCTAAGATTATTGGCCTTAAGGGACCGTTTCTCCACTACCAGGTCCATTGCAAATGAATGGTTTGCAGAACACGGAAGACCTATTGGCATGCGAACTGTTTACCGACAAATGAGAAGTTTTGGCTTGTTTTCATACCGGCCACACTGGGTCCTCCCTTTAACTCGAGAACACCGACGTAATCGCCTTGAGTGGTGCAGACAACGGTCACTCTGGGATCAGGAGTGTAACAGTATTGTCTTTAGTGACGAGTCTCGATTTTCTTTAGGCATGCACGATGGTCGTGCTAGGGTTAGAAATCGACGTGGTGAAAGGAGGAATCCACAGTTTTTTGTTGAAAGACGTGTTCATCACACTGTTGGAGTTATGGTTTGGGGTGCTATAGCTTATG